TACAAAATACTGTCAGAAATAAAATTGAAAATTTAAAATAAACAACCTAAAAAATTAAAAAATGGTCTCACAAGCAGCCAACCTTCGTCTGGCGCCCCCGTTTAATTCCACCCTGACCTCTTGCGAAATAACTCTTTCGCTGGGCTTGTCTTTCCCTTCCTCGGTGAACCGCGATGATCTCATAACTCAATGAACCCGGCGACCTCCACTTTCACTTGCTCTCTGCCAGCCACTTCTTCGCCATTCAAACATTTCTCACATTTATTACCAGTTTTTTTCTGGCGCTTCGTGGATTTTCCCATAATTCCTCATTTCTGGCAATTTTCTCTACGCCTTGCTGTGCTTTATTATTTGTTGGCATTAGCATAAAAAATTCGAAATTCCAAAAGAGTTTCATTAAAATGAGTTTGTTTTCCTTTGTTGTGGTTGTCTATCTGCGTTTGTTTTGCTTTTTATCTGGTAACCCAAGCCCTCAGATTTCTTTCTGCATATTTTTTGCAAATCGGAATTGGCTCACGTAATAAATATCATAAATTGCGTTTTACTTTGACACACATTAGCTGAAACCGCACCAAAAATGAACTGGGTAGCAATGAACGCTCTCTTTTTTCTTTTTCTTTTTTTTTGTTGTTGTTGTCAATTTGTGGCAATCTTTTTTGTGCTGTTGATGCTTCAGCGTTTTTTGTTGTCTTTTTCACTCGAATTTGTTTTTCTGGTTTTATCTGCAAATGTTGTTGTTTTTGTTTTTGGCCTGGACTTTCTGCTTTCGCCCTTGCAATTGCAAAATACGTATTATGATAACATCATCATTGCCGTCCCCATCAAAATCATTACAGCAGTCATTATAGAAGGTCAAAAAAATTCTCAACGGCTAAATAATGATTTGTTATTGTTTGGTTTTGTGTTTTTGTTCCCCAAGGCTTTCGTGGCGTATGAGTAATTTGTTGTCAGTTTGTTTATTGAATTTAAATTGCGTTGGTTCCAACTGTTAATTAGCAGCGGCGAAAACAAGAGACTGAAAAAATTGTGAAAAATATGAAAATGATGAGGAAAATTGCCAGCGAGTTGGAGAGGTGGGGGAAAAGAGCAGCTGAAAAGCAGCTGAAAAACAGGCAAACACGCAAAAAGGAAATCTGTGGCCAAAGCAGGGACTTGTTGTCAGCACATAACAACGAAACAGAAGACAGAAAAACAAACAGCAAAAAGTGCAACAAAAAACAACACACAAAACAGCAACTGCAACAACGGCAAACAAAATGTGCAATTTTTTCCAAAGCCTCCACTTCACTTAGCAACATTGTTGCAGCCACAGACGGAACAAAGGGGGGCTTGGGGGCTGGGGCCTCTGGCAGCCGGCTCAATGGAAATGTATGAATTGCATTTGCTACATAAAAAAGAAACAGACAGCAGGCGGCAAAAAATGCAGAAAAAACTGCAAAAATGCTGCGCCTGCGCCAGCGGCAGAAAGTGAAAGATGATCGCGATTGCAGGCAGGCAAAGAAACCAGGGCAGATGAGGGGGTAGCGGGCGGGAAAAGGGGGCAGACAGGCCGACGAGGGGCGGGGGAAGGTGCATGCAACACAGATCACACAATGGGAGCGTGAGTTGGCAAAATATTTGCCGTAGTTTTGCATACCCTCTGCGATTAAGTGCGATTAACTATGGTATTAGAGAAGGAACTTTTACCAGCAGACCTTATTATTTTCTAAGGATAAACTCTTTTCTGCATAAGACTCACATGAAATAGATGAGTAAAAATAAATATTAGAATTACATTATAAAAGGAATATTTTGATTTCAAAATATTGTTAATGAAGGATCCCTTTTTCAGGGTGTTCAAGTATTTGCTACCCGAAATCGGTTTTTCTACACCAAACAGTTAACTATGATTCCAAATGGGCTTGGAAAGATGAAAGATAACCAGTTCCCGCCCGCTTTCCCCTCTCTCTCACTCACTCACCCTCTCTCTCACTCACTCGCACTCTCACCATCTCTTTCGGCGTGCTAATGACTTCAATGATTTGCAATTGTTGTCTAGCTCGGGGGCTGCCAACTCAGTTCAATTCGTTCAGAAACGGAAAACGGAGGCCAACAAGTTGGGACCGGAGCATCATTAAGTCGTCGTCGTTGTTGCGGTCGCACTAAACTTAATTTTTTACCATTTTTTAAGAGGGGAGAGCGGGACAACGGGAGAGGGGGTTATGCAGAATTAAAATAAATAAAAACTTCAAGTTTGAGCGCTTAAGTTGTTTGTTCCTCTCCGCTTCTTGAGCATAATTCAACTGCAACATTGTTGCACCAGACAGACATAATGAAGGAGCCGGCCGCAGACGGGGTTAAGGGGGCGCAAATGGGTTAAGATGGGAAAGATGGGGGAGGGGGCCCTCAGACCTGATGGCCAGAGCAGTTTGTGCCATGCGGCTGCTAATAGATCTGGCAAACAGTGTGAAAAGGAACCACTGACAACTGATTGAGCCCCGGGCTGCGACTGCGATGGCAGCAATGGGTGCAACGGGTCAGAGTAGGCAGCCCGGCGGGGTTATGGAGGTTATGGAGGGGAAGCTGCTACTTTGAGGAGTTCCTGTTAAACCGATTTCGTGTGTCTGGTGCAGTTTAATGACTCCAAAGCTGGGGGTTCTTGTAAAAATGATGATTAACCGAGCGGGAAAGATGATGACAGGGAACCAGAAATGTGGGATCATTATCATTATCGCATTCTTATCGATGACTTTTACAAGGCGCAAAGTACTTCGATATTTTAAGTACTAATATTGAAATTTAAAACCATTTTATCTCATATTCGTACGGGTTTAATATTTATAACTCAAGATGTCAATAAGTCAGGATTTTTTTCATGGAAAAGCTAGCTTTGTCTGCCAATAGATCACCTTTAGAAACTTTGTCATTTATAGGAGATTTTCCCGAAATTGATTGTCATAAATAACCATCGATATGGATGCGGGGGAGCTTTTCCGAGAAAAGTGCTTAGCCAAGACGGTTATTTATCGATAAACTCTAGGTAGGCCACCCAAGTAAAGTGAGTTTTTCAGTATTTTTTGTTCGGTCGAACAGTTTACGAGATTTATTCAGTCACCGCCTTCTCACACGCCCACTGCTCTTCGAAAAAACATTTCATATTTTCTCCTCATTTTAAGCTGGCGTTGCAATAATTTTTCCCATTCTGCGGGAGACAGGCAAATCGTATTCGAGTGGCCAGGGGGAAAACGAAAAGGGGGCGGGGGGAGCGGAAGGAAAGCGCGGTAATCGAGCATACAAGCGCATTAAGCACCAGACAATTATGTTGCGGCAACATTGTTGCAGTCAAGCGCCATCGCCGGCGTCAGCCACGCCCCCTTTTCTGCCCACCTGCCCACCGTCTCCCCAAATCCTCCACAAAATTTGTGTCGGACGCCACTTTACTTTATTCTGTCTGTACAGTACGAGTATGGGAGTGAGTGCTTTTTTTGCATGCGCAATTTAAATTTAGTCAGCTGGAAAATTTTATGAGGCCGAAGTCATAACAAGCGACTAAAGCACGGTGGAGAGAAGGGCGCTAGTGGGGAGTGGGGAGGGAGAGGGCGGGGTGTGGGCGCCGATGAGAGGAGCCTAGTCTGCGGTGGGCGGGACTTCATTAGCGTGACTGTACCAAAAGCTACTAGTTGCGGATTCGCTTGCAATTAGTTAGATGTACTAACAGTAAAGGTGTACATATACGAGGATAGGACAGTCGGAGCTCCGTATTTTCGAAGCATTTATTTTTGTAAGTGGACAGATAGTTTGACTCCACTGTGCTGAATCCATGAAAAGCGTTCAGAATCTGTCTCTGAAATGTCCGGCAATTTTTTACGATCTACCAACAAAATGTTAATTAAAATGTTAACAGGAATGTCACCCCCTGCAGAGCACATACCCCTCCAACCGCTCTCCTCCACTTGCATTGCAGGATAATCAAAAACCAATACCAAAGCTGATCCAGCCACCCTCCTCTCTTCCCAATTTCGGTCGCCATTCAGGTCCCATCCCCTTGCGTTAATGCTGCGTCATCATTTGATATTCATGAGGCAGTCGGAAAATTTCCAACACCGAGGGTAGGGATGGGAAAAGCCAGGGGGAGGAGGGGGAAAGGGGGTGGAGTATTGGGGAACAAGGAATTTGTTCGACTCTCGCAGTCACGTCCTTGTGAACCTGCACTGCAAAATTTAAATAAATGCTCGCCTTGTCCCCTGACTTTTTTAACATACACACAAATACACCGATATCCGAGTAGACACACATTTTCCCCGCACTTCCCCCGCTTTTCCTGCACTTGACCGAGTGAGCGCGGAGTGAGTCCATTAGCAGGAGTCCAGAGAGCAACTCGCTTGGCCATAATCACCTTGTTTGTCGGCCGGAACACCTTTAATGGCCAAGGGGCGGGGAGGTGTCGTCGTTACGGCGGATAATCATTGTCGGCGGGACTGGATAATTTCCCGGGTAGCGGGGCCCATCAAATAAACGTAATTCAATGCACATAATGACAACAACATTTCCATTTTTGACTCCACATTTTTTGCCAAGCAACCCACAACAGATGTCAAGAAGGCAAGAGGGGACTTTCAGCTTAGAGGGTCTTTGTTGGTATTTGCATATGGCCAATTGGGCAATGTCAACAAAAAGCGAGGAAACTCATCGAAGTCAAAGTCAGCAAAAGATGATTACGCTGGGGAAAATATGGAGCGACAGCTTTCGGGATTGGGGAATCCTGCGGAGATATTATGTGGCATTAGGGCGACTGTAATGATCATAATTCAGATTAATGCCAGGAATAGAGAATGGGGAATGGGGGGAGATAATTAAGGCAAGTGAATTTGGGCTGCGTTTGCAGAGGTTGTTCTTTTTTTAAGTAACCTTAATAAAAGTTACGCTCGGTTTTTCTGCTCTTAACAAGGTTTCCTGTATCGAACCATCTTGTGTAAAAGATTATCGATTCGTGTGCCCTTTCCCAAACAATTCCGTTTCGATTCGTTTGTGGTGTTGGAGTAAAACTTTATTTCTGGATTGTTTTTGGATTGGAAACGTTACAAATATGGCGAATTCCTCGAACGTCGATCGATACGCACTACGCTCTAACATTGGATGTATTTAGTTCGACAACGATGTGGAGTTGGGTGTGTAAATCGAGTGTGTGTGGGTGGGTGTGTGGGTGTTTGTGGGGTGTAAAGTAAAACTTACGCACTAATTCGAGTTGCTTCACTGGATTAAGTGTGTGTGTTCGGTGTGAATGGGGACTTTGCAGATGCAAAATGCAAAATGCAAAACGCAGTCGATAACAGTGTTGGCCGCATCCTTGAACCATTTTCACACACACACAGGCGCAGGCACACGCACACGCACACACACGCAGGCTCACTCACGCGACAACTGAAAACGTTGCACATACGACCCGTATGCACGCTAGTTGTTTGGTCTCTCTCCCCTCTCCCCGCTCTCCCTTCTCGTCCCTCGGATTCTCACATGCCCTCACCATTTTCCATTTTCCACTTTCCACTTTTCACTCCTGCTCGATTGGATGCAGCCAAGTGTTATGCAACTGCTTAAAGGACTTTATCGTGTGATTTCTTTGGTGATTTGCGCTGTTTGAGTTGTGATTTGTGTGGTGTCGTGTGCCTCGTCTGGATCCAGATCCCGATCCCCGCGTCGTCCGCCGCATCGCCAGGAGTCCTCCTTAGAGCAGGTAGCACTTCCTCCGCCAGCAGGAGCAGGTGCAGTGCCCATGGCGGTAGTAGCGGCAGAGGCACTTGAGATACTTGTAGCCCGCGCAGCAGTGGTGCGAATGCAAGTGCGAGTGCGAGTGGTAGTGGCTGTAGCAGGAGCTGTCGTGCAGACAGTACGAGTAGCAGCCGCAGTCGCACATCTTTTCGCCGAGTGTAGGTCCTCTCGCTAGCCTCGACTTCTCTGCAGAATCAGGAATCAGGAATCAGTAATCAGCAAATCAGGAATTGGAACCTGGAATCGAAAATCTGGACTCTGGACTCTGGAGGATCGGATTTGCGCGGTGCGTCCCAGCTCCTTGGCTCGCTGTTGCCAAACTGATTTCTGGCCAACGCTCCGTCTTTCGACTTGGCTTAGGTTAGTGTGCCTCGACGGCCTCCAAGTCGCGCTGGTTACCAAGGGCTACGGGCGGGAGCCCCTGTTTGGTCGATCGCGGAGATAGATTTGCGTATTTGGGTGGCCAACATTCGTACCACGAACCGGAGCGGGCTGCAATATATGGGTTAGCACTGTTGTTGTTATGGCAATTCATGTGGAAATCATGTCAATTGATTTTGGCCAACTAGTCCTCCAGCTCCGCCGTCTCCGTCTCCGCGTCCGTTTCGGTTCCTGTTATTTGTGTGGTTTACTAAGCCAGAAGTTAGAGGGTATTCTGAATCTAATTGAACAGACTAAGAGAGTTGAGGGTTTTAAGGGGATATTGGGAATAGAAGCTAATGCTCTTGGTAGGAAGCAAAGTAATAGCTCGTTTAAATTCTGTGCTCGATGGCAGAATCCCCACAAGTGATATTTTGTGTCTACTGCCATTAATTTTTACTTAGTAGGCATACAATTAAAGGGTATTCCCCCGACCGAACCCTCATCGAAATTTTCCCAAACCATTTTTGCCTGGCACCGCGCACTTAAATCAACTCGAATCGTATGATTAATTCGCAATGTTGTCGCCGATTTTATGACCGAAATATTTGGGTATATTTTTGTGCATTAGCTGCCGTCGGCCCGAAATAGACTTGGCCAAATGCAAATTCATGCCTGACCCACATTGGGTAATGCCGGCTGCGGCATTAGTCACCGCCATCGGGGGATCTACAGATACAGATAGAGATACTCGGGTGTATCTGCACCGCCGCCGGCACCGCGGTTGCTGCTCACTTCTGTTGCAATCGGTGTGACACACGCGGCGAATGCGCAGGCTGACGTCATTGAGGCGGCCACACGGCGGATACGTCATCTTGTTTACGCGTTCGGTTTCAGGCTGAGATCAGCTGGGTTCTCGGACTTTGGCGGACTGCAAATGAGATCAGATCAGGGGGTCTGCACCGGGTGAGGTCACCGCAGTAGTGCGATCATTAGTGGGCTGCCCGTTGTTTGCCATTGCTCCAACGACTAACTGCTAATTGCTAACTCCAATTTGGATACGCGTTTAACGGCCAGGAAGTGTTTTACTTGATCACTTAGCAGGTCATTAGGAAAGGTCGAAGCCCGAGATCAGCTTTTCGGTAGTCCGCCAATCGGAAGAAGTCGATCTACTGGTAGATTTCTTCTCACAGTACTGTGGGAGAATTTAATAAGGAACTTATTAAACTGGCAAGGTGTTTCAGGGCTTAACCCCTGCTCAACGGAATATAATTGTAAGTTGCATTTTAAATTGACTCGTTAAGACCCCTAACAATGCTGTGTGGTAAGACTTTAGATTCGTGTCATGTGTCTGTCACAACCGATCGTGTAATATCCCCTGTGAAATCTCCCCACTACAGCTGGTACGTACAGCTCCCCAGTTTCGTTCACGACCCATAATTTGCACTCTGCCACATGCGTGTAGCTTATCGGATATCTCCGTTTGTTTCCATTATTTTTTCGGGGGAAAGCGCCGTTTTAACCCTTGTTTAGGTTCCAATTAAAGTGGCGAGGACACGTAACGTGGCTTTAATGTCAAGGGTGGGAGGTGGCGAACGAAAAAGGGGAACGGGAACGAGAAGGGGGTTCGTCCTGCTGCTGCTGTTGTCAAGTGTCCTTGTGCGCTTAAAAAGTCTTTGCACACGTATCCCCAATGGCGAAAAGTTTTGTCAGCTAGCCAAAACCTGGTTAAAAACGAGGGGGAGGGGGAGGAGTCGCTTTTGGGTTCGAGAAGGTTGCAAGTGCATGGTTTTCAGCAGTTTAGTTCAAGTTGTTTCAAGTAACACTCAAAGGACAACGGGGCGGACAAATAACGACGGCCCTCGGACCGAGCCATATGGACGGGGAAACAATTGGAGGTCCTCGACGGGATGGCAGGATTGCAGGGACAGGAAGCGCCGGCTGTCAGTGTGTGGCAAATAATGGTGTTGCGTGTCGTTTTTGCCACAAAACGATGATGATAACCGAGAAACCAGCTACGACAGCTGACTTTGGAAATGACGAAAAAACAAATACCGAAAACCAAACGAACGCAAAAAATGGGGAAAATGGGGAAAATAATGCACCAAGCGATGCAAGAAAATAAACTTCTTCCGGGCCAAGTTCTCTGCGGTCTCCCCGCGAAAAGCGTCACTGACACTTAAATTAAATTTGTTTCCATTCCGACGGCGACACTTTCGGTTCGGTTCGCTTCGCTTGGGATTGCAATTGGGATTGGGATTGGGTTCGGTTTTTGCTGCGGCCAAGGAACCGAAAGTACCGACTCCGCGCCAAAATCCGACCAAGAAATGCATTTTGCAATAAAATAAATTAAAACGAAGCGAAAGCAAAGCAAATTGTGTACTCCAACTTGCCGAATCCAAACGATGCCCAGAAGTAAGGAGGTGCGGTTGCATTTTTTTGGGCGGGAAAGCGGCGAAAAGTGGGCGTAACCCCAGATTGAGTGAAATGGTGCCGCTGCAGTAGGTTTTAAAGCCTCGAGGTAAATCAGAGAGACTCAGGGAATAGCTCTCACTAAATATTATGTAACCCACTTGCATAATTCGCTTTGACATTGTACATGAAACTCATTTTTAGAATTTGCTCAAACAAAACTATGTTATTTATAAATATTATTTATCTAGCTTTAATTGTATTCATGTTAATGTGGTTGCACATACAATTCTGTTTATTTTTCGCCACATTCACGAGGGTCCACCTTCTTTCTGTTTTATCCGACAGACACCAAAGTCACCGCAAATGTTGCAACAGTTTTAATTGTTGTTGCTGCTCTTCATGCCGCTCGTTCAGCATGCGGATGGGGATATACAAATGTGTGGGTGTGCCACCAAAACGCCTCGCAACATCGGCGGCAACAAGAACGGCCAAGGGGAACATTCCGTGTCCATCCGATTCTCCTCCGAGGCCATATTGTTCTCGACTACGGAACCACGGAACCGAGCTGAACCGAAATGTTTCCACCTAATCCACTTAAAGAATATTTTCTTATACTTGCTACAGAAGTTACAACACTTTTATGGACCTCAGATGCCAAAATGCCAACATTAACCATCTTCAAAAGTAAATACACAATTCTATCTGCTTCCTTGAAGTTTATTTTCGTGTTAATGCTCATCAATATTTTAATTTTCGTATCGAAATAACTACTCATAAAATCATATACTTTTACCAAATATTTAAAACAGTTTCTCCTATATTTCTTACTGTGTAGTTCAAAGCCGGGGTCGGTTGGTTCGTCCGTTTAGTTCGGTTTGGCTTGGTTCGTGCAAAATTCTTGTTTTCTCGCATTTATTGGTTTTGGATGAAGAGTTGGGTGGCAGTGGCCGGCAGCAGGTGGCGAGTGTAAAGGGGACAGCGGTTGAAGCCGCAGCCAAGCAAACACATTTCAATCAAATGCCCACTGACGGCGATGTGGCGCCCATGTGGGTGGCCCCACCCCCTGAAGGGGTGATTTACGGGAGCGATTTACGGGGGAGGGGCGAATCGAAGGGGCACGGACAAACCACCGGCATAACAGTTGCTGCACGTGGACGAGGGCCATTGCCACAACTGCCGCAAAGTGGCACTTGCCAGGTTTTTGACACAACATGGCTTGCCACATGCCAACGCAGGTTGCTGCTGCTGCTGCTGCCGCTGCGACTGCCACATCCTCATGCCACTTGCAGCAACAAGCTCGTGTTGCAGCTGCAGCTGCAGTGGTGTGGTGTGGTGGCGTGCCCCACTGATTTCGACTCGAATCGAAATGAAGACATTCGAAACGTCCTCCCAGTCGGTCGGTGGCAACTTTGTCCTTGGATTGTTCCCAACCAACCAACCAACCAACCAACCAACATGACAGCTTGAAGTTTGACAGGCGAAACTATTTGCAGCAATGCAAAGATATTTTGTGGCATTGAGAGCGGAACCGATTAAGTTGATTACTTCGGACACGACCTTGTTTTTACATGAGATTTTATTATTATTTTATGTATTAATTTCATAATTTTGGATGTTTCCTATGGGAAAGCTTGCAACTTCATTTAAGTCAAATTAAGTAAAATTAAATTTGGCTTCTACAGTCCGGCGTTAACTTTGGCCAAGCCATTTATTCTGGTGGGTTTTAAAGAATGCCTGCGGCAAGAACCCCAAGCGCCAAAAATGCACTTGCCCGTTCAGTCACGCCATTTTACCGCCCGAAAAAAAACAAACAAAGTTGGGAAACTTGTAGAACAACGTCATTAGGGGGAGCAGAACAAACCGTTTGCCTCAGCTTGTGTTTGTTCTTTTCTCGTCCCTTCTTTGTGGTTAATTTATTTTCATGTTTTAATTTCGACCATCCCCCCTCTCACTCGATTTATTTTATTATTTAATTTAACAAAAAATGTCGACGACACCTCGAGAATTCCAGCGAAATGCGGGCCATGCAACATGCGGCATTAAATGCGGATCTCAGACCCTCTTTCGACCCAGCCCCCTTTGCCATCTGAACCCATTCTCACTTTGCATTCGCCGCCGCCGATTCTCAATTCCCGATTCTCTGGGCTGCATGTGGCACGCAAGAAGTCATTAAAAAGCACTAAAAACGCAGCACTCGTAAAAACGAGCCTGGTCCCCCCGAACGCGAGGCCCCTTTCAGTGACCCTTACCCCACTCCCCACCCATGCCACTTGCCCCTTTTCCCTTCCCCCTGGTTAATGCAGCAGGCTATGAACAAGACCAGCAAACCAGCAAGCCAGCACTGAACAAAAAAATGGGCTCTTACATGGGAAGCCCTTCCGCCTTAAGATTGATGTTAGGTTTAACGATTCTAAGGATTCGAGGCAGAGAAGAAGGACGATGAGTGGTTACCCATCGTAGGCTAAAAAAGAAAACCAGGCCTTAAAAATGCAAGTAAACAAATACGAGTATTAAGCCTCGAACTGC